ATGAACTTCAGGGGCCTCATTTTCTGGCTTTAAAAGTGGTCAGTTTTTAAATAACATAACAAACTCTTCACATTTTAAAGAAAAATCACTTGACCCAAGCACAGAGTGCAAGTGGAAGGGCTAAGGCAAGCTGGGCTCTTGGGTGCAAGGCTTAGGGGTGGGGCTCAGGGCGGGGCTCCAGCTGCAAAGCCTGACCTGGGACTAGCCACATGAGGCCCCCAACCAGGCCCAGGAGGAGCTGAGCCTGGCAAACAGCAGCCTTCAATAGCAGAGTGGGGGAAGGACAATGGAGAGGGCTGCTAAGCAGCAGTGGGTGAAGGGGGAGGGAGCTGGGCAGTGGGGAGGGCCAAGGAGCAAAGCATGGGCCATGGCCCCTTGCAGCTGCTTGCTCCTTTCCTGAGGTCTGGACCACTGTCTCCACATTACAGACAAGGAATCTGCAGCTCACAAACAGGTCGTAAAATGCATCACTGGGGCTTCCACCACTCCCTACAAGCTTCTGGTGATTTGAAAGTCACTGTTGATGTTTGGATTATTCTGGAATTTACTTAGGGGCCAGGCCCTCTGGCAGCTATAAAGGAGAAATAAAGTGCTATGTTCTCTTTCTTCAACACACCAGCTCAACCAAGCCCCTGGAGAGAAGAACCCGATTTTTCTCCCTTCGGATGCAAAATATGACTGGCTTTTGGCCAAAATCTGGGTGCGTTCCAGTGACTTCCATGTCCATCAGACGATCACCCACCTTCTGCGCACACATTTGGTGTCTGAGGTGTTTGGGATTGCCATGTACCGCCAGTTGCCTGCTGTGCACCCCATTTTCAAGGTACAGCCAGCTATGGCTCCACCTGCAAGAAAACATCTGGGAGAGTAGCTGGCATCCCAGTGTGTGTGTGTGTGTGTATGTGTGTGTGTGTGTGTGTGTGTCTGTGTGCACGAGTGTGTTGGGGGTGGTGGGGGCTAGGAGTAGGTTGCAAAAAGGGGCCCTAGGACACATGCTCAGGGGCCAGGGCCAGAGTCTGATACAGCCTGACTGGCCAAGAAAAAGTTTGAAAAGGCAATTAAGTCACTTTCTTCTTCCAAAATGCCACCAGCAGTTGACTGCTGGGTCAACTACAGGCTAAAAATAGGGGTGCTTCAGTCTCTTCTTGGTAAAATAGGTCAAAACAGGGGCTCATGCCTCAGAGGATGGTAGTCAAAATTTGTTCACAGTGAAGCCCTAGGCCAGTACCAGGACCATTCCCACTAAGCATCACAATGGTGTCCTCAGGCCTCCTAAAGCTAATGGGCTGGAAGATCTCCACACAGACCTTCACTTTCCCTCTGGGGCCAGAGTGACTGCACTGTGGGCTGGCCTGGGAGTGCTGAGCGAGCCACCAGATCCTCACTGAGGTTTCTCCTCTCCTTTCAGCTGTTGGTAGCCCATGTGAGGTTTACCATAGCCATCAACACTAAGGCCCGGGAACAGCTTATCTGCGAGTACGGCCTTTTTGACAAGGTGAGTGCCCTCTTGCACGTGGGGCCTGGGAGAGCTCTGCCTTACAGCTCCAGCCCTCTCTGGGGTCTAGAAAGTGTGGGAGATTGGCCCTGCCCCCAACCACAGCCAACTGTCCTCTTCCCTGTAAGCCACCATGACTTCTTCCCGTGCTGTTACCTTTTTATGCGTCCTGTCCTGTTCCAGTCCCGAGCCCTTACAAGATGTGTGGGACTTCTCCCACCCTACTACACCCCTGCCATCCTGCCTGTGACCTTCAGGGCACTCTAACAGAGACGCCCAAACTCTGCGCAGCCAGGTCCTTGATGTGCCCAGCTCTTAGAAGCCGATTGGCTTTCTAGAAGCCATGTTCTGCACAAAGGTCTGCTCTCTGCTGCAGCTATACTGTACCCAGGGCACTGGACGGGCGTCCCCATGTCACCCCCTCATGGAAATGGGAGCTTGGCTTCCTCATCTCACTGCACCTCACAGGATACAGCCACCCCACTGTCTCCAAGTTTCTCACAGATGAAACTGGGAAGTTAGGCAGCTGAGCCCGGAGAAGCAACCAAGCTCAGGCACTCTGCTCTCTCACCAGGCCAATGCCACTGGGGGTGGCGGGCACGTGCAGATGGTGCAGAGGGCTGTGCAGGACCTGACTTACTCCTCCCTATGCTTCCCGGAGGCCATCAAGGCCCGGGGCATGGACAGCACTGAGGACATCCCCTACTACTTCTATCGCGATGACGGACTGCTGGTGTGGGAGGCCATCCAGTCGTAAGTGAGACCAAGTTCTGTGGGAAGGGAGCCCCTAATGAAGAGTGTGGGGAGGCGGGTCTGCTTCTGGGCTGGGTGGTGAAGGAGGGAAGGGGTGGATGACATCTAGAGTCAGACATTAACAAGTGACAGGCTTGCCAGAGGGACCATCTGGACACCCACTCCTGCTGGCCCTCCTGATCTAGGTTCACAAGTGAGGTGGTGGGCATCTACTATGAGGATGACCAGGTGGTTGTGGAGGACCAGGAGCTGCAGGACTTCGTGAGGGATGTTTACGTGTACGGCATGCGTGGCAGAAAAGCCTCAGGTAGGCCACCATGATTCTACACTTCTGCCGCAGAGCCCAGGGGGGTCAAAGTCATGAGAAACAGGAGGCACCCAACCAAATGCCTCCCTCAAAGCACCTGCCCCCTCCCTTCTCCAAGTGACTTGCCAGGGTAGATCTTGGAAAGTGTGGGTGGGGGAGTCAGGACAGGCTGAGCCAGGTGTCCCTCATAGGGATGGGCTCATGGTCTGTGGCTCCATCTTAGGCTTCCCCAAGTCCATCAAGAGCAGAGAGAAGTTGTCTGAGTACCTGACTGTGGTGATCTTCACAGCCTCGGCCCAGCATGCAGCCGTAAACTTCGGCCAGGTAGGCCTAGATAACCCTCTCTGGGGTACCACTGTCTCAGGTACCCCACAGTCGGAGCCACCCCTCATATCCCTGGACTCCCCCACCTCTGGTTCCTGCCCTGCTAGCCCACCCATCCCCATGCAGTCCCTGAGTTTGGAACCAGCAGTAGCAGGCATGAATTCTGCAGACACACCTAAGGCACTCACCTGGCTGGGGCAGTTGCAGGCCCTGGGAAGGGGGAAAAGGGTCTGAGGAGGGAGAGGACATGGATATCCCTGAGGGAGGCCTGGGGGCCCTGGAAGGAAGGCAAGAGGGGCAGCAAGAGAGGAGACAGAGGTGGTATGGAGACGTGTGGAAGGTGTGGCTTGAGCAACAGGAGAGGGGACCAAGGAAGGTGAGATGGGGCCATCAGAGAGATGTGTGGGTGGTACCCTCAGGGAGGGTGGAGCCTGCTAAGCTGGTTCCTTGTGAAGTCTGAGGTGGGCAGGTGCTGGCTTCTTGGGCACCCACACAGTTGGTGCTGCTCTCACAGTATGACTGGTGCTCCTGGATCCCCAATGCTCCTCCAACCATGCGGGCCCCACCGCCCACGGCCAAGGGTGTGGTGACCATCGAGCAGATCGTGGATACTCTACCAGACCGTGGCCGCTCATGTTGGCATCTAGGCGCAGTATGGGCATTGAGCCAGTTCCAAGAAAATGAGGTAAGACTAGGCAATGCTGGAGGCAGTATAGGTCACTGCAGTTTCATCCAATTCTCCAGCCCAAGGCTTTGGGGCTCAGGCTCTAGCTGGACACCTACAGCCAAGAATCTTAACCTCTAAGGTGTAACTGCTTAGTGGGGGGGGCACCCCACCCCAAGTCCTCAGCCTGGGCCTGAGCCCAGAGTGGACTGGCAGTGGAAGGCACAGGCTCTGCTCCAAGTCTTCAGAGAGGTGTGTGTAATACCATCCTCTAAATCATCCCCAGTTTTTGTTTTTGCTTTGTTTGTTTGTTTTTGGTTTTTGTTTGTTTTTGGTTTTTCGAGACCAGGTTTCTCTGTGCAGCTTTGGAGCCTATCCTGGCACTCTCTCTGGAGACCAGGCTGGCCTCGAACTCACAGAGACCCGCCTGCCTCTGCCTCCCGAGTGCTGGGATTAAAGGTGTGCGCCACCAAAGCCCGGCAGCCCCAGTTTTCGATAAATCTCTTCCGTGTGGTTTCCTGGCTCCCTACAGGGGCAGTCAGAACCCCCAGGCCCCTTCCAGGTACTCCCAGCTACGAAGGTCTTGGCAGACACAGCCCTGTGCAATGTTCCAGGGCTATTCCACTGGCTGAGCTCCTTCCACCTGCCGCAGACATGCTAATGTGTTGGTTCTGTGCTCGGTATGACCTCTTCTCTTTTGGTCAAAGGATGTCAAGTCTGACTTCTGCAAACTAAACCGCAGCTCTCCCACCCCCTTTCCAGTCACTGAACACTTCAGACATTGGTGTAAGCAAGCAAGGAGCATATTGCCCAGCAGGGTGCCCCCTGCCCTCCCCGCTCCACCACTTCCTAATGTCCAGGGCCTCTACCTATCTCAAACCTTAAAAGGACAGGCCAACAGGACCCCGAGGCCACAGAACTTCCAGAGCTGAGACCTTCTAGGTTCTACTGTACCTTCACTTGTCTTACAAAACACCTGGCAACTAGGAGTTGCCTTTTAAAGCTCCAGCCCTGAGCCTCTCATAGGGAAAAGGAAGTGGCATTTGTATAACCTATGATTTTTTTTTAAAAACTGCACATAGTATTTACATATTTATGAGATAGTGTGATGTGTGCATACACTGATACTGCTCAGTTACAGCATCTGGCCTACCATTTCCTTGTGTGATGTTCAGAATCTTCTTGTTTAGAAATACACACTACATTGTTAACTATGTACCCTGCCATGCTGCAGAACAGTCCCTGCCTTTGAATTCACTAATTTTGCCATTTTTTCCTCCTCTGGTGACTTCTTTGAGATGATGAGACAAGTCTTTCTTTTTTAGACCAGGTTTCACTATGTAGCCCTGGCTGGCCTGGAACTCACTTGGGAGCCTTTGCCTCCCAAGTGCTGATATTAAAGGTGTGTGCCACTGCACCTGGCGAGATAGCAGTTTTTAATATCCCATATATGGTATTTGCATCTGCTTCTTTTACTTAACACAATGGCCTCCAGGTTATTTTGTATGGCCAAGTAGTGTTCATTGTCTGTACAATGTACCAATCCCAGCAGGTGGCAAAGGTCAAAGATGAAGAGAGTTGAGTTGCTATCTTTCTTTCTCCCAAGGGAAGCCTCTTGCAGTGGGACAAGGCCTACAAGTCTATATGACACCATCTTAAACTGTCTTTCCATGTCTGACCCTCAGCTGTTTCTGGGCATGTATCCTGAGGAGCATTTCATTGAGAAACCGGTGAAAGAAGCCATGATCCGATTCCGCAAGAACCTGGAGGCCATTGTTAGTGTGATCGCTGAGCGCAATAAAAACAAAAAGCTCCCCTACTACTACCTGTCACCAGACAGGATTCCCAACAGTGTAGCCATCTAAGCCTGGCCTGCCTGGCCCAGCATCTCTCTGGGAAGGCCAGTGGCTTTGCCAGCCAGTCCCCAGCTTTCCTGGCAGGCTCTAGACAGACCTTCGGGCAGCTGATGCATCTTCCTTCCAAGCTAGCAGTGCTCCCCCTGGGCCTGGCTATTCTAGGATGGGAGGGCATGCTCCTGCTTCTTCCTGTCTTTGGTGGAAATATGTACACAGTACAGGGACCTTCCACCTGGAGCGGGGCTGTGCAGCTGTGATCCCCAGCCCAGATAAGCACTTCTACACTAATAAGCAACAGTCCATCAAAGTAAGTGACATCTGTTCTTCTTGGGTCGGGGTTACCTTATTCTATTTATGCTTTGTCCAACTGCTTTTATGTAGTAGGTGCCTAAAGAAATCTCTTGAATGACAATTTTGTTATAAAATAAAATTCATTTAAAACGGACATTTGTCTTTCTTTGTCTGGGCACATCATTTAGTATAGTGTTTGCCAGTTCCATCTGTTTACCTGCAAATTTTATGTTTCTTTGCAGATGAACAAAATTATAGATATTATCTATCTATAGATATAGATATCATATTTTCATTATCACTCACCAGCTAAAGGACATCTAGGCTGTTTCCTAGTTTCTGCTGCTGTCTTCATGAATGAATAGCCTTCCCCTCAAGAAGGGAGCCCTGGAAGGGCAGGGTGCCCAACTCATCTATTCCTGTGCCCTGGGCTAGCACAGGCATCATTGTCTGCATCCCCTCCTTTTCCTTCTAGCCGGGCAACTGGCTGACACTTGTCTCTTGAGGCAGGGTTGTAATGACTAAAGGAAGTCACTAAAACATATGTCACATGGGTCTTGTCATCAATTCAAATCCCCTTCTACTCCCAGCCCTCCCACCTCTGGACCCCTTCTCCCCACGGCCTCATTATTATCCACTGACATGTGGGCTGGAAAGGGTATTCCAGCTTCCCACTGGAAAACACTCTCATCACAAAACTCCTTTGTAAAGAAAAGCTTTATTGCTACCTTTAGATACCCCGTGAATAGCACAAACAAATCCCCTGTACAGAGAATTATTCAAGCAGTAATACTGAGAAACAGTGAACATACACAAAAGGATTAAAAAATTAGACATTCAGATTACTAGAAATTTTTTAAGAAATGTGAAGTGCTTTTTAGAAACTACACTACACACACCAGTGTAAATTTGGTTTTTATTAACAATCAACTTTAAACATTGCATCTAAATGTGCACCAGTTACACACCTTCATCAATCACTTCCAACACAAAGACAAATAAATGCCTTCATCTCCCTATGCTTTGGACTTTCCTTGGACTACAGATAAAAGCTGCATAATAAGCTATCTCAAACCAGCTTTGGTGGGGTGGCACTTCAAATATGCATGTGCATCCAATCACACCCACAAATTATAGCTCTTCACTCTGCCCATCCAGCCTTTAGCCTCCTGTCATTTAGACAACTACTCAATGCCTTGAATTGTCCCCTCCCCCACTGCCTGAGGTCGGCACAAATGAGTCCAGGTGGAGACACCCACAGGTTTGGAAACTAGGCCTACATGACTAAAGAGTGTGCTAAAGCCAGAAAGGGGAAACAAAGAGACCTGGAGTAAGAAGAGAACTTTACAACATTTCCAGGAAAATATTGCAATTAACTTGGGCACAGCCCCCTCCCACTTACTCATGGCAGCTAAAGTCATGGGGGTAAAGGTTAGGTTATAGAGAGGGCTGATAGTTACACCCTGAGACTACCTCCTCCTTCATTTGACCCGCAAGCTTAAGCCCCCCTGGCCCTGAGGCCTCATCCTAGACCTGCTTGGTGCAGCCATCTACCATCTTCCCACTACATTCAGACTCAAATGAGGAGAAATGGAATAGACAGATAAACCCTGCAAAATTACTCAGAGGGAAATCAGACAAGGACATGGGGAGCCTGGGCAGACCATAGACCTGCTATCATGCTTCATAGTGCATGCCTTGCCAGTCTCGTGCACTGAGTTGCCAATAGGTACAGCTGTTTGCTACATCAGAGCACCTACAGGAAAAAATGACCAAGGGGTAGCTGGGAAGGGAAGAAGGATGAAGAGAGACTTCAACAGAGTAGCCAGAGAAGAAAGAGATGGAGTTAGGCCTTCCTGAAATGAAGAGAACAACATGAAAGCCATGGATCTAAAGTCACCTTATCTATGTGGGGTACAAGGCCCCTGGGGCAGCTGTGCAGGGACTACTCCCAATGAAATACACTGTCCTCTCTACAGAAGCCTCAGTGGCTGGTTGGGACTTCATACTTCAAACAATCTCCATCTTCATGTGACTGCCCGCCCACTGTTGAGTGAGCATTGTTTCAGGGACAGATGGACAGGATTAGGTACTCAGCTGCAGCAGCTTTTGAACGGTATAGTAAGGGATCCCTAATGGGCAGTCTGTAGCTTCCTGGTGTCCCCAGACCAAGAAGGTGTGTGAGTAATTGCACTTTGGGGCATAGTGAGCACAGGGAGGCTTGTGTGGTCTGGGAGAGAGAATAGGCTAACCTAAGGAGTGGGCTGATTGGATAATGACTGAAATCCCTGGCAAAACAGCTCTATGACTGAACCCCATGACCCCAGAGATTAGATAAGGGGTATTAGGACAAAACCTGCCCCTGCAAACCAAGCATGGGGCTTCTACTGGGAACCACAAAAGATCCATTGTCAGTTTCCTCAGTCTCTGAAGAAGACAGGAAAAGCAGCAAAGTTCCCAGGCACTGCCCCTCCCACCTCAGGAGGCTCTGAAGACCCTGTAGCCAACAGGACCACTTAGGAGAGTACACTTCTGGGATCCCTCTTGTCACATTGTGAGTTGACTATTGCCTGGCACAGTGACAATGGCCTTCAAGAAAAAAATGTTCAGCAGACTATTTAAAGGGACAAAGGCCATTTAATGGTGGTGATCTGGCTTTGTCTGTCTTGTGAAAAATGGTGCAGGAGGTAACCCCAATGACAGAATGGATCACATGTGGCCCTAAGGACCCTAACGATCCTGTCATGTCTGGTTAAGGCGGTGAGTGTGTATGGGCCAGCCCATGACACAGTGGCCCGTGACAGTTGGCTGCTCATGCCAAGACCTCATCTCAAAGCTGGTCTGTTTACCTCCCAGCCCTCAGCAGTGACTCCACAAAACATGGTCAGCACCATGGGAAGCAGAGGTGGATCACAGGGGTGTCCACAGTGTGTGTCCACTCCATCTGGAGACTTCTGTCAGTCAAAGGAGCATTCTCTAAATACTCAGCCTGACTCATCCATTAGATCTCAAAATCCTTCCATTTTAGTGTTGACAAAACAGAAATGCATGGGTGGGCTTGTAAGCTAGGGCTTGTCAGCAAACAGGCTCAAAACCAAAGAGTATGTCCTTGGCATCCATTACCTCCCATGGACACTGTTAAGGAAAAATATCTCAGACTTGTCTGTCTTGCTTGAAGTCACCAGTCTTTTCTGGACATGGGAAGACATCCTACTATTCAGAATATATAAGGAAGAAATTGTTTCAAATCAATTTTTATGCAAAGAGATGACAGGGGCAATAAAGAGAACATGTCTAAATATGACATTCTTTTAAGTGTCACACCCACTAGACACAGGAATTCCAAAATAAAAACTTTCATAAAGTGCTGTTTGCTCAGTGATTCACACACCAGCAGACACAGGGCCCTACAGCCTTACCCACCCCAGAGCAATGCGGCAACATGGGCCGAGCGGCCAAGCGAGCGAGCGAGGCAGGGGTTTGTGTGTAGGCTCTGCTCCCTTCCTGTCTCCTAGCTCCTATCAGTGAGGAGGGAGCCCTGCCACCAGCAGCAGCACTCCGTGTACCCACTGCTCTGTCCTCTGGGGACTCTCTCACCACCAGTCTCCCCCATGCTGCTCTGTCCCCTGGGCTTAGCTTTTTACTTCCTTATCTGCTCAAGACCAGGAGCTGAAACTCAGCCAGTCCCTCATCATGGTTACTTGGGGTCTCTCAGCTTTCCGGCCCAAAGAAGAACCTGGCAGAATGGGGCAAGTGGCATCTGCTCCTCAGGAATTCTAAGATCTTCACACCAAGGAGGGTTGGGAAAAAGAGAGGCCACTATCAACAGTCACCTGCCCAGTCTATGCTATTACATGAAAGAAGCAAGGAACACAATTGGCAGTAAACAAATTCCTTCAGCTCTTTGTGGACATCAGGGAAATGACACCTTCCACACTGTCAGACATTAATAATTTCTGCTCCAGTGTCTTCAGGCTCTGTGCAAGAAGAATTTGTGGTGGAATGACACATTCCATGTCCTTCTTTATTTTCAAGGGTGGGCTCTGTTAGTGCAGACTTCTCAAAAATATTCTTTTTACTTGTTTCTGGACAGTTTTGAACATAGATCACTCTATTATAAGCCTTGAGTCTTTTCCATAATTGTAGGTACACCTTGCATTGAACATACATAAAAAGAAGTCCTCCAGTGAATCCAATGGCCACAACTACCAGTTTAGTCCAGAAAGGCCACTCTAGGATTCCTGCAAGGGAGGAAGACTTAGTTAGACTGTCAGGAGCCTCATTTAAGCAGTAACTAGGACCCAGTTTCCAAACTCCACAATCAGTAAACAGATTTGTTACTCATCAACCCGCCCCTCCCCTGTCCCCCAAAGGCAGCATGGAGGGTTCTCACTGTGATATATCCTGCTCTCTCAGAAGTCCCAAGTCTCATCTCTTGTGATGGACTTTGAAGACGCAGAGAAATATCCTTGGAATTCACCCTTTACAAACCCAGGTGTTTGTGAGAGGAACAGCTCTGAACCTCAGCACCTCAGGCCCTGGGACCTGTGAACCACGCTCACCTCATAGCCCAGGCACTCACCTGTCACCTGACCCTGCTTGATCTCCTCTGCGGTGCGGTCAATGAGCACATACAAGGACCAGACCACACAGGTGATGGCAATGACATGGAATGTTACTGAGCACATGATCTTCCTTCGCTCACTGGAAGTCATCTGCAACTTCTCCCACTGGAAAAGACAGCACAGAGAGCATAAGGCCCAGACTCAGAGCAATGGACCGCAATGGGCATGACTGCTGCTCATGGCTATGATCGGCTTTCCTTCCCTCCCACTCCCAGGCAAGATCCATTTCCCCAAACACCCAGAACTACTTTAAACCACTTGGCTTCAGTGAGGTAGCAGATACAGCCAACTTTCTGTGCAATGAAGAGAAGCTAGGACTGAGAGGAGCAGTGACCTCCCACTAGCTAGTCCCTTATTCCTGTAAGCAGACAATGAGGAGCTTGACACAGGAGCATGTCGGTTGAGACTGACATGGAGGGATGGAAGAAGAGGGATGATACCACAACACACTAGGAATGAGTCACGTCTATGTTGTGAAGTGAATGGCAGAAGGCTCTCACTCTTTGGTCCTCTGCTACTTTGGCAGCAACAGCTTGAAATCGATGCTTAAGAGTTCCTGGTACAAGCAGCCTCTGCCAGTGCCATCCCTCTAGGAGCTCATTAATTTACTCCAAACAGATTGGCTTTGTCATTTACTGGTTCCCAAATCAGAAGAAAAGACATAAAAGTAGAGAGAAAGAACAAAGTATAAACATTCTGCATGTCTTCTGCTAATGATGGCCACAGACTATCAGGCTAAGTGAAAACAGAGCTTCATTGATGATCTCTCCTACGTCAGTAGTACATGATCTTGTGACAGATTCACACAGAGTAGGTTCCAGGAGACTTTGACCAGGCAAAACCTTTTCTTGAGCAGTTTGCACCTGCCTGCTCTAATACCCAACTACATTCTGTTGGGGTTTTAGAAGTAGCAAGATCCCACCTGAAGCATCATAGTCAGCATCTTGGTGTCTTCTGTGCCTGGCTTCTCTCTTTTCTAAAATGTCCACAGCTCAACCCTTTGGCACTCCTGAAGTGCTCACATCACCACCCGGGTGGATACGTTTCCCCACAGGCAATCTGAGCCCTATGAAGCCCTTTCACTCTGCCTGCCATTCTTACACATCCAGAACTACCTCAAAGCCACACCATTTACAATGCCCCTCCCCCCATGAGATTGGCCCATGAAGACCACTTCTTCCCCTACATGTTCTACTGCCAAATAACTTGGCATTTTATTGGCCTCATAATGTATGAGTGCCCTAGCAACTTCTATATTAGTGATTTTGACACAGTAGGACCCCATTTTCTCCTTCCAAATGTGATCTTTTGTGCCTGGCACAGAAAGAGATATGTGAAGCTGACAAGTGTGAGGGAAGCCAGTCCCAGGGAGGCAGCAGTGACTGGGACACGTCTTCATCCATGAACCCTTCCATCCAGTACACACACACACACACACACACACACACACACACACACACACACACAAACTGTGATGAACGGGGCTGAGTGCTGAGGAGTGTGTGTTCCCACTAGAGACATACAACAGCTAATACATAAGAAGCTAAAGGCTGAGCATGCTGTCACAGACAGTTGGTGGTCAAGGAGAGAAGAGGGACAGTGAAACAAACAGTCTCAGTGTGAAGGAAAGAGAAGCGCTATGAATGAAGGTCAGAGCTGAAACATCGATCAGAAACAACCATCCCCTGATTTTTAAAGCAGTGAACACAGGTGCAGAGTCTGAAGGAGTGACTCTCCCCGAGTACCCCCTTCTTACGTACTTTCCTCAAAGGTTTCAGCTTGGTCTCCATGATGAACTCGTACTTGCAGAGCTCACAGCAGCGTGTGTCAGAGCTCTTGATCCACTGCTGCAGGCAAGCCTGATGCACAAAATGGAGGCTTCCTGTACAGTGACAGGGGGTGATCAGAGGGCTCTCATCATCTCCTTCACAGTGGCAGATCCTAAGGTGGAAGACAAGCTAGTCAGTGAAAGAAGGATCTAGAACAGGGAAGATGACACTATCAGAAGGCCAATTCCTTGGCAAACAAAGTTCAGAAATAAACACAGGAAGAGTGACTGTCAGCAGAGGGACACACAGGCACCAATAAGAACAGTCACAATTGGCTCAATGACAGCTTACCATAGCAGCAGCATCAGGATGGCATTGGGAATGGAAAGGGAAGACTGATACAAGAAATGACAAAACAGGCACTTTTAGGGAAGACTTCAAACTTGAAAGATAAAATTTAGGCAACAATAAAGACACCCTCCAGAACATAAAACATCAGGGGAAAAATAAAACCCAAATCAGCACTCTCCCCTCCCAAACAGCACGGTGGCTTAAAGGGCTTGAAGTCACACACCCATTACCACATCCACAACAGCTTGACCTCCCACCCTCTCTTGCAGGATCCAACAGAGATCACAGTTCTTCGTCTGTCTCCACTTAAAGCTCCAAATGGTTCTGCAACTTCATTTCTTTTGGGGACTACTCACCACATTAAGTAAGAATTATTAAAGCAGTCATTATTTCCAAGGAAACATCTTGGATTCAACTACCAACCTCCATGAACTTAGGCTTTTGAGAACAGAGATTTTCCAACAGCTGGGTAACAGGTAGAAACAGCTGTTTTGAAGAGGGCCTGGCCCACACCTGGCTAGATTGCTGTTTTATCTGTTTCAGAAACAGGTTTTCTGATCCAACAATAAGAAATGTTAACAGTTGATACAGAGAAGGAGAGACTAAGGGAGGCACGGGAGCAGGAACAAATGAGCTCAAATTGGGCCCAGATGCTGTACAAGGAAGATAAAGGTGGAAAGCAGACTTAGGATACCCTGAGGTAAGAGGAAGGAAAGGAGAGAGGGAGGGAGCTACGTGAGCAGGCTACTGGAGACAAGGCACTCCCACACTCACAGGGGCAAGCTAGCAAGCTGGAGGCACTACTTCACTTCTTCCCACATATTTAGGCAAAGCCTACTTATTTTGCTGAGAGGAGTTGGTTTAATATGTGCACTTTCTGCATCTTATGAAATTAGCTTTCAAATGGTGTCACTGTTTGAAAAACACAATTGCTCTACAGCTGGCAACAGAATGTCTTACTACTTCACTTTGCAGAAACTTCACATATTAAATCAAGGTAAGGTTTATGAAAGTGTTAGCAGAGACAGCCGGACGGTGGCTCCTGGCAAACCAACCTGCAGGCATCCCCTGAGGTGGACACGGGAGAGATGGGGGTGCATTTTTCAGAGAGTGGAGAAGGACAATCCAGGTCACTGTCCTTCTCTACTGAGCAGAGGGGCGCACGCAGGACCCTGCTCTTCAGTTTGGCAGATGATGTATCCTCAAAGACGTCGTCATCTCCCATCTCATCAGAACAGAAGTCCGTGCTCCCTGCCAGCCAGCTGGAGGACTTGGCAGTGTGCAAATGGCTGGCATGGCTCTCCAGCTCATGGAACCTATGCAGGCTACTAGCACTTGAGCCACGGGAGAGTGAGAACAGGTACCGGAGCAGTCGCTGGCTTCTTAACCTGGCCTCACCATCAGCTTTGTCCTCCAAAAGTGGGATGCACACACTCCCCTTGCCAACTTCCCTCTTTGAGGCAGCTGAGTGGTTGGTAGAAAGGGAAACCACACGAGAGTGTTTGGAATGGTCGAGGGGTGGGCAGTACTCTGCTCTTTTTGCTTTATGGTGGAGCCTGTTCTTTTTGAGAGCTGGACCTTGAGGAAGCACCAGTTTCCCTTCGGAACAAGTTCTTTCCATATAATCAAAGCTTTCCAAAGTATCCTGGGTCTTCTCACCCACATCACTTAGTGACTTGGAGATTCTGAGTGCTCTTCTGGCCTTAGTATTCTTAGCAGGCCTTGAGGCTCGGTCCCAGTCTGAACCAAAGGGATCTCTCTTTGATGCCTGTAATGTGTCTTTACAGATAACTGTCACAGTGAGCCCTTGTGTCAGAGAACTCTGGCATGGAGGAGCTTTCAAGACAACAGCAGACTGCACGGGACTGTAGTGACAACACTCAGAAAACACTGCACTGGAACTGCATGCAGAACAGTGGAACAAAGCACAGAAAGGAAAAACAAGTTTAAAGAGAGCAGACATCAGAGTGGGAGCTGAGACTGTGTTGTAACTTGGTGGCAAACAGCACATAAACCCAGGCTGTTTAGACCAAAGGTAGAATGATGGAGCAAACAGAAAACTGAGGATTCTGGGCTGACACAGGCCATGGGAGCATGTGCAGCAGAGTGTTACCTGCAGATGTCCTGGTTGGATGGTGTAACAGAAGTGCGAGAGAAGGAAGACACTGGAGCCGTCGTGGGTGGAGGACTACTCCCAGCCTGCAATGACACACCTTCAGTCAGGGTTGATGAAGAAGCCACGGGGGCCAGACACACTGTCTCCTTGTGGATGGTAGTGGGCGGAAAATCCAATGTCTGCTGTTTCCTACTGCTCTGAGAGGAACATGCATTAGGTTCCTTGATGTGTTTTTTTGAGACAGGGTCTCATTTTATAGCTTTGGCTGGCCTGAAACTCACTATATAGGCCAGGCTGCCCTGAATGCAGAGATCAGCTTGCCTCTGCCTCTGCCTTTGCTTCCTGAGGGCTGGATTAAAGGTGTGCACCACTATGACTGGCTGGAACAGGCATCAGATCCATGCAAGTCCAGGCAGTATTCTAACAGTATTTTTTTCTCATCTGTGAAGAAAAACATAGCTAAAAGATATTTTAAGAGCATACGATATCATTTCTAAGCTCTGACGATTCAGCAGCTTTTCCTCTAAGCCTACACACACACACTCACACACACACACACACACACACACACACACACACACACACACACACACACTTCCTATGCAAGGCACTCTACTGATGTGAAGGATAACAAGCCAGGAGTCTTTCTGTCAGCACTTGTCTTCACCTGGTTTCCAAGACTACCCTCCCCAAGGCTGGCAAGTTGTTTTCTACCTGACCATCTCACACACAGAACTGGAGAGCTGAGCCTCAAAACCTTACTGCCTTGTCACAACTCTGGGAAAGGATCCCAGTTAAAGAGGAGATGGAGATACAGTGCTTCCCAAGAACCATAATGTGAGAATTAAGAACCATACTCAAGTAATTTAAACCTGAAAGAGTGTGTAATGAGCGCACAGGACACAGCAGGGCTGTGAGCAGTGGTGAACCAACCAGGAGGAGGGAAAAACCTGGACAGAGGATTTATCACAGTGAGAAGTGGATGGAGAGAAACAGAGACTGGAAACAGAGCTGAGCTATGATGTAAAGCCACTGCAATTCCCTAGGTGTCATCAAGACTCATTCTCTAGACTTCAGACCCTGGCACCTCTCACACATTGTTCTTTTACTGACAATGAGGACACATGCTCTGTGTGAAATCTGTGAGGTTTTACTGTTGTACAAATCCCACAGCACATTTCCACAGACCTAGATGGCACAAGCCAGTCACTCCACATGGCCACCTGAGCTGACCCAGAGCTGGAGTCAGTATGAGATGGGTGAGGCTGCTTCTGGTGTGATGTAGTATACCAATTTACAGCTTTTCTCTTATTTACAGTATTTCTTTATTGTCTTCCCATATAGCCCACCCCTCAAACACAGGGTCCCCATGCTTCAATCTCCCAAATGCTGGGATTACAGGAGTGTGTCACCATGCCTAGCTTACAGCAGGAGAATGCACTCTAAACTAATGATAACCATAGTGTACAGACCACAACTGTTTGTTCTTGTGCCTGGCTTATGAGCTGTAGTTCTGTGGAACCCACAGCACAGAGGGTTTGCATCCGCATCAGCACGAACACATGAGCTGCATTCAGGCAGCTACAGTGTTACTAGAAGAGTTTTCCAGCTGTGTTATGATCAATGCCATCACTATTCAGACCACTTCTGCTCAAAACATCATTGTATGCAGCACCTCCTTAGAACAGGGAGCCTGAGTGACAATCTGCTATGTGAAACCCAACAAGTTGCAGGAAAAGAATCATGCTCCTTGAGCAAATTCAGCTTACCTAGAGCCTACCCCGTGACTGCAGGCACCAAAATGACTAAGAACTTGCCTCACTTTCTTTCTAAGTATACCCTAGGAGGGTACTCTCATCTTGACACCCCACCAAGGAGGCATCAGCCATCCAAACAGCACTACCACCTCCCAGGAACAGACCTCTGTCCCCTTCTGCCAAGGTTCAAGCACACCAGCCTGGAAAGAACTCAATCTTAAGGAATTTGACCCAGAAGATACATGTTAACATGGTATATGTATATACTGAAGTCACCAGTATCATTCAGTTAGCACACCTGAGTCATCAAGTAATCTATACTGTCTAATTGAATGTACATATGGACATTGAGCATTGTTCTAGTTAGTTTCTTAGAGTCACCTGGGAAGAGGGAACTTTAACTGGGAAAATGTTTTTATTAGATTGGCCTGTAGGCAAGCCTGTGGGGACATTTTCTTAATTAATGGGTGATAAAGAAGGGTCCAGACTAGTGTGGACAGTGCCACACCTAGGCAAGGTAGCCCTGGGTCGTATAAGAGAGTAGGCTGAGCAAGCCATAGGAAGCAAGCCAGGAAGCAGTGGGTTTGCTTGAATTCCAGCTCCAGGGTTCTGCTCTGCTTCAGTTCTTGCTTATGACAAATAGCAAACTGTAAACCTGGTCCTCCCCCAAGCTGCATGGTTATAGTCTTTCTCACAGCAACAGGAAGCAAAGTAAGACAGGAATTGGTACCAGGATCACAGAGTGTTGGTGTGACAAATCTGACCATGCTGTTTTGGGGAGGATTGTGAAAATGTTTGGAACCTTGAGATAGAAAAGCCATTAATTACTCAGAAGTTAATAAGCTGCTGTGGGAACTTAGAAGGTAAGAATGCTGAGACCAATTCAGATGATGGAGGCCTGGAGTGTACATTTTAGAGGAAAGAGCCATTCATGGGATACTTGGAGTTAAGAATCTGTGTTTTCTAGTCAGTCACGAATGAGGAATCAGCTGTGATCCACAAGAGACCAGAACCACTGAAGTGAAATTTTTGCTTTACTGAGACAATGATGGGACTGAAAAAACAGTAAGAATGAAAAGAAACCAGAATCATTGAGGTAAAAACTTCTAGGAAGCATTCCCTCATGGTGAGCATATAGAGTTGTGGTCCAGAGATGGCCACAGCTGCAAACTAGCAGCTGAACTTAATGTGTAAGTCTTCCAGGTGGTATGAAAGCTGCAAGGTTGAAAGGGCTATGGACAGCAGCTGGCTTGGCACTGTATAAATCTAGAGAAGCCACTGATGAAAGTACAGCCTTAGCTGCAGTGGGGACTCCAGGACTGAAGGGGTCATGTGGCAGGGTCAAGGTCCTGAAGAGAGGTCAGGAGGCCTTTGGTGAAGATGCAGCCTGTGGAGATCACAGCATATTGGAAATGCCAGAACTGTGGAATGACTAACAAGGATAGCAGCAGGTGTGGAAGGCAGCTAGTGTAAGCTTTTGAGACAAGCTACATGTACTGATGATGGCAGAGCTAGAGAAGGAGAGGAGCCCAAAGTCCTTTGGACCCCAAAAGATTGTGAATTCCAGATGTCAGACATTGGGATACTTATACATCTGTACGTGGGTTTTGCTTCAATGGGTATTTTAAGAAGACTTTGGATATTTTAAAGAGACTGAACTTTTAATGTGTGAATTTTTAAAGGCATGGGACTTTTAAAATTATATACTATAGCTTATATTGTGAAAGTAGCATTAGGTATCTGGGGGATAAAAAAGAAAGGAAAGGCTATAGTTTAACAGTGATGCATTTGTGTATAAGTTAACAAGGGGTCAATTGTGCCTGTTAGTTTTTTAGTCATTTTGACACAAGCTAGAGTCATCTGAGAAGAAGGAATGACAATTGAGAAAATGCCTTCATCAGATTGGCCTGTAAGCAAGTCTGTGAGGGCATTTTCTTGATTAATGATTGATATAAGATGGTCCAGATCACTGTGAGAAGAGCCATCCCTGGGCAGTTAGCTGTAGACTGCATAAGAAAGCAGGCTGAGCAATCCTTGAGAGAACAAGGCAATAAAAATGTTCCTCCATGATTCCTTTTTTTTAGTTTTTAATTTTTTATATATTTGAATTACAAACAAGACTGAATTACATGACAATCCCAGTTCCCTTCTCCCTCCCTTCCTCCCCTACCACCCCCCCAACTAAAATTCTACCTATCATATATCCTTTCTTCTAATCTACACCTAATTCAACCTTTCTGCTTCTGCTAGAGCTCCTGTCTCCAGGTTTCTACCCTCCTGGAAGAATTCAGGCTTCCCTTTATAAGGGATAGTATGCCATAAGATGAGGTAAACCTTTTCTTCCACCAAGTTGCTTTTGGTCACAGTCTTTTTCACAGCAACATTCACAAACTAAGACAAGCATATTCTTTAAACACACTAATTGACACTAATAGAGTTCTTAGAATCTAAAGTTTAATTTACTTGTAGATATGATAATAACAAGCCCATGCCAGCCTCTGTCACTTCCCAGTGAGAAAGGGGTCTCAGGATATATGTGGACAATATGTCTTTGCCTCTTCATATCACGTCTCATGGGCCTATCGACATGCTCCATCCTCTTTTCCCAGCATCTTCAATCCATGGTAGCCACCAAAGGCCCCAGCCACCCCTTGGGACCGTCTCCTGTCATGAATTAAGCACACAAGGTCTCTGGTACCAAAGCTTTACTGTCAGTTACACAGGGAGGCAGACTGAGAACTATTTTTAAATGTCCACACTCCTACAATCACTGGTATTCTCTGCTTTCTAGTCCCCAAACCACTTTGAGACTGAAAACCTTCATCAGCCGGCTCTATTTAGCTGCCACAGGAAAAGCCAAAAATATATTGTGAAGGTACAGTACGTAAGAGATAAGTCATCATGACACCCCCTTGAAAACTTGGCAGAATGTCCATGTGTATTCACACCCTCATTGCTATGTAGTGACCTCTTCTTCTGTGTTGTGGGTCAAACTCAATTGGTGGCACTGACTTATGGGAGAAAACCTCCACCCAACAAGGGATGGGAGACAGAGGGAATTACCTAGTCAATTCCTCCTGTTATCTTAGGAAGATAGGCCCCTCATGGAACCAAATTCACTTGCTGGATTGTGAAAGGACTATATTGTAGAAGGGATAAGGTCTAATCTGGAAAATTGTACCTAACACGGATCAGTGTCCTGGGAAGAGTTGGGTTTCATTCGGTTAGTTGAAGTCAAGAGAAAATACCTGTCACTCTCCTCTCAACTCCAAATAACGCATGTCAAAAAGGTATAATGGGGAATGACCATAACTATGCATATACAG